ATGTAAATATTTATAAAATACAAAATATCTACATGTATACTATAAAATTAGTTTGTTCATGCACCAATTAAACATGCATGTTGCTTTAAACGAACGCAGGCGTGGGTTCCTCTACTTTTAAAGAAAGCCAAGGGCCCGTTAAAGAGAGAGAGAGAGAGGATGTACAAATCAGACATGATTTTAGACATATGGTCAATTGACTGCTCCTACTGACAGTACATGTAATGTAGGGGGCCTACCTATAAAAATATATTTCTAAAGGCAGTTATATAGTGCAGATTATTAAACATGATTAAATGGTCGATAATTAATATCATGGTGAAATTATACCAATACATGAGGCAAGACAATGTGATTTATGTGACATTCACTGTCATTTTCATTGGTAAGAGGCTTAGGGTTGTTGACGAAATTTATTCTACTGAAATAAAAGCAAATTTCATACTTATCAGATGATTTCATAGATATAAAAATGATTTCAAAGAAAAGTCCATCTATAACATGTATAAGGAAAGATTTGTGTGTCCTTTAGTTAACACATAATGTCGCACATGGATTAAGCCTTATAATTCTGTATCAAAAGTTAAGTTATTAAAAAAAATATATTATTGACTGCTTAACCCAACAACTCTAATTAACCTGTTACTGAAATAATTGATGAGTAAGAAGAAAAATAAGTGAAAGTAAATTGAAATAAGGAGAAGAAACAGGGTCTAGATGGCTAATTTAGTTGATCTTTGATATCCCGAACACCAATATCTTGAATACCAGGGATATGTCAAAGCAAGTTGTCTGTCCCAACCATGTTCTTAATGTTTTTTACATTTAGTTATCTCAAATCTTTGGATACTTTTAGGTTTGATTTTAATTTGGTCCTATCAAGTTTGAGATAACATTTAGGTTTGACTGCAGGTATATCAAGTAACTCGACAGCTCACTCTGCTACATGCAAGACAATTTCCTTGATTGGATATTGCTATTATAATACCTGGGTATCTACATTAACTAAGAACTGCATGTTGATCTAATTTTTTACCAAGATTTAATTGACAATTTTTAGTACAAATTAAATCCTATACCATTTCAATTAGAATTTTAGATTAAAAAAGTTGACAAATGGAGAAATATTGACATCTTGTACAAGTTGCAACTTTCACCCCCCAATTTAGGCTCACTGAGAGTCTTAAATTTTGTAATGTATGTTATTAATATATGTTATTTTTGTAAACTGATGGGCTGTATTGCCCAAAGTTATATCCTGAATAAGCTTATATACATTCTACTGCAAAGTAAAGACTCTAAAAATAGATTGAAAGTTTATCCTAATTTTTAATATTCACATCTCATTTAATAAATTAAGTATTACAATACAAAAATTTAGATTTCTGATGAATTACACAGTGCTTGTCAGTGAATTTTCATCTTGATTTTGGGGTAATTTTAAAAGGATTTGTTTGGGACTGGGTCCTAGCTGGCTTCTAATGGACCTACATGCATCAGATATATACACATGTATACATAGCAATAGATACATGCAATCTCTATAATACAATGAAATTAATGGTGTTTACTAGTTAGGTCAACTGTCATTAGGTGTGTTGGGTTTCATGTTTTTTTTTTTGCTTTTTTTTTATGTACATGTACAAAGATTGCTGTTGAGGTTTGGTCAGTTAAAAAAATGTAATATACAAGGGATATTTTAAAATGATTAATACATACAAGTTTTGGAATTAAAGATATGATTGTCATCTTCATTATCTCAAACCCTCAAAAGTTTCAGAAATCAAGCAACAGCTATACTTTTTAAGAAGGCTGGGGGGTCGACAAATTGACCATCAGATATATAACTTAATTTTTTTAGATATGATATCTTAAGCTGTCAACTATCATTTGGCAAACAAAAATTTCATACATTTTATTTTTAAAATTTGATCAGTTTTGTATATCTTTATATGGAGCTCTTCTTCTAAAGGAGATCAATATAGTCTGAAAATGGCCACAACCACCCAGCCCTCTTAACTGCATTCAGTCAATATGCTTTAATTTCTTTGAAGTAGTATACTTTATTATTTTGTGATATTTAGGGCCTTTCATGGAATGCGGGAAAACAATTAGAATCGCATTGTCCATCCATCAACACTTTGTTTTTACACGATAAGTCAAACAATTTTTAAATTTTGTACAGAAGTTAATTCTTTACAATGAAAGGAGAACCTATATCATACAATCAGATTATACTTGTGAACAGTCTGGGTAATTGGGAGTGATCCAGTTGTTGATAGCAGATTTAATTTTATTCAAATTTTTTTTAATAATACAAATTGTTTGAAAGTTAGCATTAATAAAATATTATCAGGTGGAGATGTAAATGGAAGGATTATTAGTAGGTTGTACATGTATGAACATCTCCACTGACAGAACCAGAAATTAATCTTTTTTTTTTTTTTTTTTTTTACAAATTGTTTTGTTGTTCCCCTTGATTTCTTCTGCTGCCATTTTCAACATACACTCATTTAGGTGCTGGTTCCAAGGAAACAACTGAATCAACGCTGTTGGCTTAGATGTGATTTTTAAGTTAACCTAATTTTTTTTATTCTGCTCTCAAATTTTATGCTATTGTCAGTGCATAACGAACAAGTGTAGATGCTGGAATTAATGAGAGTACATGATAATGAATTCTTTCATCTGCCTTTTTAAAATTTCTAATTTTATTTCCTTATAATATTTAAAATAAAAAATACATTACATGTGTTTACAATTTAATAACAGGTATTAGGGATAAAAATCTTAAGTTGTGGATCCAAAGGAAGAGGAACTTTTTCTAATCACATACAATGTATGTATTGATTTAATTTGAAGAAAAAATATTCAAATATAGATCCAGAGAATTTTGTGGTGGATCCAAGGGTCTAATCTTTTGAGAGGGGGATCCAAGGGGAGTGGGAAATATATTATGAATTAAAAAGTTTGAGATATTAAAAGTATTTTATATTTAAGAATAAATGATTTTTGATATATATGTTAAACCTATGAATAATTGAGAACATCAGGCATGTCTAATGTTCATGGCTCTTTATCGAAAGGGAGAGGAATGTAGCTTTATCTTATAATATGAAGTTTTGTTTTAAGCATAATGTCAAAGTTACATAACTTTAAGCTCAATATAAGTGAATTATATAGATCCAAAGAATTAAGTGATGGATCATAGGATCCAGGTTTTTGAATGAGGGATCCAAGGGGAGTGGGGAATAATTTATCAATTTAAAAAAAAAGAAAGAGATATTCATGAAAAAAAATTTGAAATATAGCTATGTAACTCTTCTGTATGGTAGATAAGAAAATTTATCCTTTATATGAATGAGTCATATATTATATATAGGTTTGAATTATATATAGATTCAAAGAATTTAGTGGTTACTAGATCCAAGGGTCTATTCTTTTGAGTGGGGGATCCAAGGGGAATGGGACCTAATTTTTTAATTAATTTATAAACAGCATTTGCATATCCTTATATTTGAAAAAAAATATATTACATGTGTTTACAATTTGATAACAAATAATAGGATCAATTAAATTTTAATTAAGTTGTGGATCCAAAGGAAGAAGAACTTTATCTAATCACATATGTATTGATTTAATTTGAAGAAAAAAATATTCAAACATAGATCCAGAGAATTTTGTGGTGGATCCAGGAGTCTAATCTTTTGAGAGGGGGATCCAAGGGGAGTGGGAATATTTTATGAATTAAAAAGTTTGAGATATTAAAAGTATATTTATTTTAAAGTAAATGATTTCAATATGTTAATCAGGTCTCAAGAATAAATGTTTTATGTTCAGGCTGTTGATTGAAAGTGAGAGGAACATACTTTTATCTGATAATATAAATTATTTTTTGATTTCAACAAAATGATATCAAGCACACGTACATAACTTAATTAAGCTTAACATGAATGAGTTAAATAGCTCCATAGAATTAAGTGATGGATCCAAGGATCCAGTTTATTTGGGGATCCAAGGGGAAATTTGAAGGAAAAAAAGAAATATGAAATAAATATTGAAATATATATAGCAATGGTACTCTTCTGTATGGGAGATAAGAAAGTTTATTCTTTATATGAATAAGTCATATAGAAAATATATCTATGTATAGAAAAAAGAATTTATTGGTGGATTCAACGGTCTCTTCTTATGAGTTGGGGATCCAAGGGAAGTGGGACATACCAAGATAATTTATGAATTAATTAATAAACAGAATTTGTTATCTCTAAGAACAAATGATTTTGCTACTAACAAGGTTTCAAAAATATTGAAAAAAAAAATGAGGAGAAGACATGTCTGAAATTATTATTTCTTGGAAATAAGTTTGAAAATAAGACAAGACAATAATTAATGTCTCCATTCCAATTTTCATGAAATCAAAGATATATAATGAAGATTACATGGGTTTTTTTACCCTAAGTAACAAAAACGTGGGGGAAAAAACCCACATGTAATTTTTAGTCGTATATGGGTTTAAAAACCCCACGAAAGATTATATGGGTTTTTTTCCCCCATGGGGAAAATTTTAAACCCCATGGGGTTTTTGTGGGGTTTTTCATGGGGTAATTTTCAGTACATGTTTCCCCATGGGATTTTTATCTTTGCCACTTAATATCTCAAAAACTAGCTAAAAATGTTGGATTTTTTATTTCATAAATCAATTTAAATATAAAAACCCCACCATTTAAAAAAAATCCTAAGATAATAGCTTTAAAGGAAAAGGGTGCGCAAGTTCGGAAAAATGTCCATTCCGAAGTTGTCCGTCCCACTGTTGTTAGATAACCGCGATGCTAGGTATTATAGCGCGCCCGTGAACGTTGAAATTTTTATTTAAATCTTTGTATAAAAGTAGTTGGAGTATTTTCTGAAAATCAAATTGATTTAATCATTAATTCATATCTTAAATAATTGACAGTATAAAATACAACATTTATAGCAGATTCCTTCGTCACATAGAAAAACAATATTTGTCGAGTTAGTAAAATGTATGACTGGGATCTATTCGAGATTTTCTTGCATCACTCTTTCTCACAGATGAACTGAAAAGTTTTAGTACAATACATGTCATTTCCGGTTCCGGCCCGCTGAAGGACGACACAGGCTGGTACTCCACGACCACTGTTTGGTTGGTTCGCAGCCCATTGAGGAAACACTATTTCTGTTCCGCTTTGGTTCCACAGAAACTTGTCCGGAGGCAATTCGCATCTTGCACCAACCCAGACTGAACAGCTAAAGAAGTGAGGGCATATTGCTTCAACTACAATACGAAAGCATATTTATCGTAACATGCCTTTGACAGATTGGGAAAATACTTTTAAATATAAGAATTAAATAGACGGAACCTTGAAATGTAGAGAAAAAAACAAACGGCTATATATTTGTCATAAACTAAAAGTTTTACGGCTCAAGTATCAAATATACCGTTTTTCATCTTTTGTCTTTTTTTCTCTCTTAAATGATGGAGGGGTACGGTTTTCTATTTTGAAAATGAATGAAAACAGGATTCGCATCTTCACCCAAATATTTTGAAATACAATATTGTTTGCCATTTTATTTAAAAATTTTTAAATAAAATTATACAATTTACTTGCATAATGGTATCATTATATCATTCGCAAATAAAAAAAAAATTCAAGGCTTCTCAAAATAAAAGAAACACTCACCACCGCTTACTGGCAGAAGAAATGACTCTGTGATCCAAGTGCTTTCCAAATCGGAGTTCAGCTCGATCAAGTACGAGTCTCTCTGTTCACACTGAGCCTTTGATGTCAGAGAGAAGGAAGAATATTTTTGTATATGTCAGTATCATATATTTGTGTGAAAAGGAATATAGATGGGATTAAAATAATTATATATGTTGTAAGTAAACGAAGTTCGAAGGAAATATGCATTTACATAAAAGCTGATAGAAACCAACGACGCTAGTAGGGCTGTATGAATAATACAATTTCAAATTTAAACTTGAAACCATACCCGCTACTAAAAAAAAAAATTAAAATTCCGAAAATATAAGTATAAACATTTTGAATTCATGGAAATGGTTTGCGTCATTGGTTCACTCAATTTAGGTTTCCCTTTTTATTACATAATCAGTTGAGATTTATAGTTAAATGTTTTGGTATATATGGTGACTTCTTGTGAAAACATAATATTTGCATTAATTATGGCACTATTAGATTTAAAAAAAAAAATACAAAGGTATGTTTAAAGAATACATATATAAATATTTTTAGCTCATTTTAAACAGAATTTGATAGAGTACCACAGCCTCATCCCAAGTTGCCTCTGTTTCATTGAAGTAATAACAATGGCCGCTGAAAGGAACCCAGCCGTTATCACAAGCTGAAATGAAGGCAATTAGATTAGCTTTTATATTGAAAGGTTGTCGTTAATTTCATTTACAACAAAAAAATTACCTTTTACTCCATTATGTAACAATATTTTTACAAAATTTCACAACATCATGGAAAATATAATACATGTATATAGCGCAAAAGACTTTATACATGTAAAATGAAAACAACTTGACGAACAAAAGATAAAACGTAAAAAGAAACAATAAAAAAGAGAGAAACAGAAACATGATGTACATGAAAAGAAAAAGTACATTATTATTATTTTGATTAGCGTCTTGAGACTATTTCTCTGATATTTCATTTATCGCACAAAATTGAAAACAGCTATAACGAAAACGTTTTACATATTAACTTAAGCTTTTTGCGACCTCTTTTTTCTTTTAAATTCATAATTTTTATAATAAATGGAATAAAATAAATACAATGTAAAAAAAAAAATAATAATAATAATTGTGAAAGTAGAAAACTTTACCTTGAACATTTGCCCAGTATTCCCATTGGCCCTCCTCTGAGCTGTTGCTAATTAAACTCACTATTTTTTCGTTCAGATGAAGTTTCAGAAGCTTGCATAATGTTAGATTTTTACTGTACAAAAGACTCGCGCATCCAGGTGATTGCATCAAGCAGATGTAAGAACACATTGCCCGATCTATTTCATTCACAGTTGAAACATATAATTCTGATTTATTTGGTGTTAAATAGTCAAATAAAGGTACCCGCTTTAAAAGTTGCTCCTTATGATTCAAAGTTCCTGAAGCATAAGATATCCAAAGGGTTGTTGAAAGACAAATAACACTAACCGCACAAAGCATCCTTTTCACTATTTCTTTTGAGTAAATCATTTTAAATCGCACTTGATCATAAAAAATAGTGTATAATAAGTAGCCAGGGATGACGAAAAAAGATGTTTTTCAAATACTTGTTATTAAACCAAATGACTGGAGCTGACTAACATTCCCAAAGAAGCACAATTAATACGACTGACTAAAGAATGTAAAGTTTAATCATTTAAATTGTTCGTCCAGGAGTATGCGTTGACAGTACATATTCAATTATTTTCAATTAGATTTTGATGTTTTCCATTTTGAAATAAAAATTTGGTTAATTGGAATCCTTTATTGGATATCAATATACGTAAAACATCGTTTTGTATTATTAATTATGGTTGAAGATAAAGGAAACACACAATGAGTCATTTAACAATCCCGCATGCACGAGTATCAGAAATAAAATTAAACATTAACAGATGTCCATTATTCTGACCAAAAAATATCTCGGGAAAATAAATCTGAATGTCCGTGTAAAGGCGTTTTATCGGAAAACATAATTAGAATATCATTGAGGGTAACAACTAGCAAACAGTAATTAGAAAAACTCATCAATACCGAATTAAGCCTGCAGAAAATATGTAAACATTAACTTTTACATTTATGTTAGTTGTAAATTCCCACTAATAGGTTTAATTGAGTAGCGATCGTGCATATGGAATTCCAATCTTCTTAATTAGTTTCCTATTTAAAAGTATTCAGTATTGCAAGTTTCATTACCCACAATGTTTTTTTTTTTCGTTCGTGTATATTGATCAATGTAAAACATATGTACATAAAGAAGAGAATGGAAAAGATGGGTTAAACTAATAGTAAATTATCTTCATTATTGTCAGGAGAAGATTGAAAGGTTTTATTTTATTGAATAACAAGATTTTTTGTCATTATATATATATATTTGATCATTCAATTACAACAAAATTTCTTGTTTCAACGTTTAATAGATTACTAGATCAAATTTGATTGTTCAAAAATTAAAAAAAAAGTCAAAAAGATAAGAATCAAAACTAAGCAAAAACTTTTAAAAAATTTAAACGCCTATCAGGAAAAGCTTAAAAAATTACATTTTTCTTGAAACCCTTATAGGCCCTTAATTTTTTAAGTTCTTTACTTCTGTAAACAACTATTCTTTGAAGCCCTTAATGTATTTTTTAAAACCATGTTTAATCATATTAATCAATCTTCTTTTCATGTCAATTCCCCATCTCCGGATTTAAATATTTATTTGTTTGTTTTTAGCGTCATCCCTTCGAGAAAGGTTTTGAATTGATGCTCTTATTAATTCATATTAAGACAAAAACCTGCCGGTGGAGGGCTGCAAATTTAGACCTGTACTCGGCACTTAACCGCCTTTGAGCAATGAGAGATCTTTTTTCGTGCCATTATCTACTGCTACACGGGACCTCAATACATGTATATACTGTCTCATCCAAACGACCGGTTTCCACATCCCGTGGTGGGATTCGAACCCGCGACGTAAGGATCAACTCCGCGACTCTAAAACAAACTCCCTAACCACTGACACGCGGACGACGATTTACATATTTGTGAACGTCATATAGATAGAGTGAAAGAAATGTGACAATTCCTTGCCTTCAAATCCCCCAGAAAATATCTATTTACAGAAGTCATTTTTAAATTTTAGTGTCTTTATAAATCAATTAAAATGTATTTTGTAATGTATTTATTTACTTTTTTTCAAATCTAGGATAAAAGTTTCTATGGTATTTAAAACTTCTTGTTCCGACCAAAAACAACAAACAAAACAAAACAAAAAAACATATTTGAAATCTATATTTTAGGATTAATTTTCATCTATTTTAGTCTGAGTTCCCTTGGTAAACATTGTCTTGTTCATTATAAAAATTCCAAAAAACGCATATGTCGCCTGCTTTGTAGCTTAACTAAAGATGACAATAAATCTTAAGAGTGGTCAATAAATGAATGTACAATCATATACGGTACCGATTTCGATGCACTAGATGCGCATTTCGACAAAATATGTCTCTTCCTTGATGCTCATGCCGAAACAGGTTAATTGCTTTTAGGTTCATACATGAAAGTTCATGCAATTTTCTGCAAAGATTGACTGATTGATTGTATGTTGTTTACGTCCCATTCGAGAATTTTTCACTCATAGAGACGTCACCATATACCGGTGAAGGGCTTCAAATTTAGAGCTTTACTCGGCACTGAGCAGTGACGGATCTTTTTCGTGCCAAAGCCTGCCGCGACACGGGGCCTCGGATTTTTTTTAAGGTCTCATCCTAAGGACCAGCAACTTTCACTTCAAAGTGCCGAGCGCTTGGCGAAGGAACAGTTGCTACCTATTTTTTTATCGTCTTAGGTCAGTCGCGGCCGAGATTCCAACTCACGGCCTTCCGATCAAGGAGAGAGCGCTTTAACGACCGAGCCAATTTGACTGTCTTTTCTGCAAAGAAAAGAAGTATCCACATATAGATTGGGGGTTCGATGAACAGCTTGGAAGACTACTGGAAGCAGAAGATACAACTTCTATCCGTTCGATTTGTTGTCTTCTCTTCTCGAATGCTCTTCTTTCCTTCAATCTGCACGTGTAAAATAAAAATCGGAAGGCAGAAGAAAGATGGCGGTTGCCACAAATATCATGTTTCAGTGCCAGGCATGCTCTGCCTTTCACAATATCGAAGAATTTGGCATGTATACATTTTGTGGTAAGGTGGATTTAAGTATTTTTAAAGATTAATACGTTAAACATACATGTAATAAAATTATTTGGCAATTGAATATTGTAAGTTCACATTCTTTGTTTGACTCAACCTACCAACTGTTACCCATTCAGAACAATGCATTTTTTTTTCAAAAATCTATCTTCAGAAAAAATATAAAAATAAGAAAGATGTGAATATTAATTTTTATAAGTTGGGATAGGACACTTTTATAAAGAATATTTTTCAGGGCAATCCTAATACAGTGTATTGCATGAAATATGTGGAGATAAAGAACAGTATTCGAGCTCAAAAGTCCATTTAACATTACAAAATAGGAGCAGAGCAACACGGACCTCTAAGGCATCAGACGTGGAATCAGGTGCCATGGAGGAGTGACCATCCCTGCCGACCGGTCACACCCACTGTGTGCTCCTTATCGACCAAAGAACTTACGAAATGATGACTTTAAACGAGACTGCTGATATTCTTCTTTTATCAACTTGTTTGTCAATAATTTACCTCGTTTTAGAAATTGTTCATACGTAGAGCATGGCTTTGCTCTTGCGTGCCGATTCAACTGAGAGATATAAACCCCGTATGCAGGTGATAAGGGTATATTGCTGCAAAAATAAGGGAAGTTGACGATTGAAAAGTTAAAGTCATCACGTTTTTCATGAAGTTTTGTTGTTAGATTACCATTAACGTCTTTTTCTAAGAAAATATCCAAATATGAAACAGATGTGTCAGACTATGTGGTATCTTTTATTTCAAGCTCACTGGGATATATCTTGTCGACATAAGAATGGAAATGAGCATTGCTAATTGATAATACGTCGTCGATATATCTAAACGTCGAGTTGAAGGCCACAGCAAGTGTTTTCTTCTTTTCATGTAAAAGATTTTGAACAAATTCTGCTTCATATGAATACAAAAATAGGTCTGCTAATAACGGGGTGCAATTGGTGCGCGTTGGAATTCCAATCTAGATTGTTAGAAGACCTGGTCTCCAAAAACCACATAGATGTTGTCAATCAGAAACTCAAGCATCTTTTTAATGTCAATTTCAGAGTACTTGTGTGTGCAATCAGATTGTTTTTTAACAAAGTAATTTTGTAAATGACCAATGACAAGGGAGGTAAATTTACGAGTTCCTTTTTATAGAAAAAGCAGCTGTCAACGATGTCAGAAAGTCTGGACTTAAATTTATCGTAGGGAATAGTTGTATATAAAGTTGAAAAGTCGTAAGTTTTTATGTTGTTGACATTGGTAAAATTTTGTGATTTCAAATGTTCCAAAAGTTCCTTGGAATTTTTTAGTATCCACATCTGATTTACACCACTTCTCGAATATATTGTTGCACAGTACTCTTGAAGTTTCTCCCTCACTACTCTTAATATCTTAGTGAGGAGTAAAGAAAGAGGCTTGGTAGAACATTTACTGGAACCCGCTATGTATCTTTGTTTGTAAGGATTTTTATGAAGTTTCGGAATCCAAATATAGATATGGTCATTCAAATTCATTTTGGTTGTTGGTAATGTTAAAAATTTTCAAAAATGACATATGATTTTGAAGAATTTCCTCCTTAGAAAGGGAGCTATGGGTTTAAGTTGGATTACCACTTAGAATTAAATACCACACATAACAAACTTTGGTCGCAGTTTTCTCAGTAACTACTCAACAGAGGTGATTGAAATTTTAACACACTCTTTGTTTAGGCATGCCAAATGGTGGGATTCATTTTTGTATGAATCCAATGTCAACTTCCTGTTTATCCGTGCGTCTGTCCATACCTTACATAACAAATTTTGGTCGTAGTTTTCTCAGCAACTACTCATTGAAGATGCTTGAAATTTTAGCACAATCTTTGTTTAGGCATGCCATATAATGGGATTCATTTTTGGAACAAATCCGATGTCAACTTCCTGTTTATCCGTGCGTCTGTCCGTACTATACATAACAAATTTTGGTCTAAGTTTTCTCAGCAACTACTCATCGCAGATGCTTGAAATTTTAGCACAATCTTTGTTTAGGCATGCCATATGTTGGGATTCAGTTTTTACAAATCCGATGTCAATTTCCTGATTATCACTGTGTTTGTCCATAACCGAACTTGTGTATTCACATCAGAGCGGGGGTATTATTAGTGAGCATTGGCTCACAGACTTCTTGTTCTTTTTTCACTTCTGATTTATTGAATACAGAAGGATAGATGGTTATCATACTGCCCCTCACTCGTTTAATGCGAGATTTCAACATATAGCTGATACATTTCATCCATTTTGACGTAGTTTCAAGTTCTTTTTCATGTCTGACCCAACGCCTGGCGTAATCCTCTACAGAATCAATAATATGTATGAAATTATTATATAGCTAACAAATAATCAATAATAAAATACTACTGAAAGTCTAGAGAATTTCAACATTCAATATCTTGGTGTTTTATTAAACGCTGACTTAATTTGTATTACGGATATGGAGTATACCCGAAACATTTCGAATACGAGCGTTTAATATCGAACGCACCGTTGTAAACAAAAAATGTCGTCTAGGCAATTTACGATAGGTTAGTTAGGTAGTGACAGTGAGGTAAGAGGTGTTATTTTTCACGCAAATTTGAAATTATTAATTGATAAATTAGTACGTATTAGCCTCAATAAATCCCCAATAAGCAAATGATAACGCTTGGTAGGGTCATTGGAATGATGCGATATTGAATACTTAGGCTAAGCTTAAAAAAATCTTTGTTTATAGTTGCCGACCTATAAATTTTAAAGTGGGTAGGTAGGTAGTTTTTTTGTTTTGTTTTTTTTTTTAAATAGATTTCAGTTTTCGGGGTTTTGTTGCATAACAAATTATAGATATTTTCATAGGGTTACTAGATGTAAATAAGCTCCACTTATCATAATTACGCCACTATACTTTGATAAAAACAGAAATGAACCAGTTTCATTGTCCTGAAAACTTGAAACTTGCAAATAAAATCTCGAAAATAGCTTTAAAAAGTTTGGTTCGGGTGCAGTTTAAAAGGGGTCGGTAGTCAACTGCAAACAAACAATTTTTTTTTATTTTAGGCCATACAGGACAGACGTTAATTTAAATACCGATACTAAAAATCCTCTTTAATTTGAGTTATTTAGTTGAAATAATTAATATGACTCAATGGGAGATGTTTTAGATATATAATAAAGGAGTTATTGGCCTTATATTGGTGAATATTGGCCCTTGTTGATCGAGCAAATGCACTCGCAAGCTCGTGCATTTGTACAGCCAATATTCCCCAATATAAGTTCAATATACCTATAATATGTGAAGCATCCTGTATTCTTTTCATGCTTAAACATGTTTCACTATCCGTAGTAAAAAAAGAATAAAAGGTAAAATCTAACATCAATATTGCTTTGAGGTAATTGTATTTTTCAGCTGAGGATGACAATGATAGACCGGGTCCTCCCCTAACAAAAAATACTATAGCAAACTTATAGTTAACTAAAGTTTACTATAGTTAACTATAGTACCAAAGTAAAAACTTTGGAACTTTGATTTACTATAGTAAAAACTTTGGGACTTTGATTTACTATAGTGAGAACTTTGGAACTTTGATTTACTATAGTAAAAACTTTGAAACTTTGATTTACTATAGTGAAAACTTTGGAACTTTGATTTACTAACTATAGTAAAGTATAGTTTACTATAGTTTTCTATAGTATTTTTTGTTAGGGCTTCTGTAAAATCGACTAAAGATTGGACATCCACGCAGCTTTTATGAACACAGTTAATGCCATCGCTTTGCCTCATCCATAAACTTTTTTTTGTCAAAACTTGAGCAGAAACTACTGGTGACGTGTTTCTTACTTTAAAGGAATTTTTTGGCTACCCCTCACATATTGGTGTCTGCTTTGATAAAACCAACCTTTAACTCTTAACATCAATGAAAATTATAAAAATGGTTCCAGAGTATTAGCAGATTGGCAGACATCAGTTTTATTCGAAATGATTATACTCCGAATATGAAAGCTTTGAACAAAGAAATAAATCATTCGAGTTTCATGTCAGATGAATACTTGATTATTGTTAAACACATATTTGAAAAATAAAGGTCTCCCCTAGAACTTTCTCGATGCAAAAGAAGGTTTTAAAATTAGTCTTTTGACATACATTAAGACTATAGATTGGGTGAATATCCGCCTGTATATGTATACATATCCAAACACATATTAATTCTTATAAAATCATCTGTTAGACTGTGTACAAGAATACGTTCCAAAACATCCGCATTCACAAGTCATGTCAATACCTCTTAAAGAAATCTCAAATATTGTGAAGGGCGGTAACTCCTCCCACGTGAGGGGATTTCTACACAAGATACAATTATCTCTACAAATCAATCGGTGCCGTGCCCTAGGACAAAAAACCGAACCATCACAGCGACAAAAACATTGCCGCAAGCGACATCTAGAAAGCTGAACATCAAAACGAGTCAGGGGGCTCTGCGATTCACCGTTGTATTCACAATTGCGGCATGCCTTCATACTCTCAGTAGCAACCAGAAATTTGACACATAATAGCAGACATATAGCGATGGAAGTACGATCTAGCTGAAATAAAGCAAAATGTTTTAGCTTTAGCTGAAGTTAAGATATTTTCAGAAACAGTTCTTCGTTTTGATCCGTGAAAAAATCTGATAGAATGGTCTAAATTGAATTCTGAAGGGCACGAGTCAGACAAATAGCCCATGTTGGACCTTCATTAAAGTTCTGTTTGTTTTACGTTAGTTTTACTTAAAACACTTGAAAAGTTTCCAGTGAACTAGAAATAAAAGAAATTCCACTGTTCCATATTTCGCAAAATATACGGATTGTTTGAATTTCATTAAGAAATTATAACGTACATACCATTGTGAAATTTTTAAGTCCGTTGTTGTGATATGATGTGGTTGTGCTATGAATTTGTTTTTATTATAACTTAATACTACTTACCAACTGCCCGTTGTAATCATCCATGTTTATGAGGAATCACGAGCATCACGAAATGTCAAAACAATTTTCTGTATATTGAGGATGCATTAAAAGTGACGAAAAAAGAATTTATTTTACAGTCTGACATTTTGTAAAAATTCAAATGAACGAACTGCCAGCAGCATAATGTGAGGTTAAATTGTTTTTGAAAATTTAATTTTCAATGCTGCAGTCTGAATTTATTCGCAATTTTCACTTTTCTCAGTGCATTGTAATATGAGGGACAATATGTTATAGCTGGAGGGAAAACAATAATTCGGAACGAAAAATATACAGCTACGTGTATAATCTGTTTTCTCTTTAAAGCAATTTGTAAAAAAAAAAAAAAAAAAAAGATTAAAAGACAATTCAAACAAATACAGTGTATAAATTATACACGTAATTTCCTTCACATTTTATCATTATCGGCCACTCTTGCGGCCGATCTATTTGTTTCTGTATTAGAAAATGCACATGGGGGAATAAGACGTTATAATTTTTTTATCAGTTCGGTAAAAAAAATTAGTTAATGATAACATACATGTACTTAAAAATTATTAGTAAAATAATTTGAAAAACTTGTGCTCTTTAAACTTCGTCGTTATTGCTGTTTTATTTCTCTATTTTATATTATTTATTTTATGACTAGATAATTATAAATTTATGACTTTATGAAAAGACGTTTACAATACGTTCTCCCTAACAATAGAGTAAGACAGAATGTAAATTCATTCGTTATATTTTCCGAATTCCAGTACTAACTACAGTGCACAACCGATGAACAAAAATTGAAAAGTTGGTAATACTAGTAAAAATCTTGCTTTGAATATGCTCATATGCAAAGGACATCGATGATTTTTTTTTCTTGCCGTTGTACTTATTCATAAGTGTATTGTAAATCACCGCACGGAGCGGCATTCCACAGAAACCATCGGTATCGACATCACATGACAATGATCCAGGATATCAGACCGTGGAAGGTTATCCTTTTTGACATCTAAAGATCTGAATATAGCAATGCATTCTTATCAATTATCACCGCTGTTCATATCGATGAATGAATCTGATCAACAAACTTCAAGGCAGTGAAAGTAGGTACTACATGTATTTTATTTATTATATAATATGTGCACATTTAGGTTTTTTTGTTTGTGTGTGTGTGTGTGTGTGTGTGTGTGTGTGTGTGTGTGTGTGTGTTTTGGCTTTGAAGACAGGGCTTACCAACTAAAGAAGATTATTGTAACTCTGATAAAGATGTACGTATAAATATCGAAGTCTAAAATTGTACGTTTGAGGATAAATGACACGAACAAACCTTTTTTTGAGAGAGAGATGGGAAATTTTAAGATTTATACTGAGAATGATATGAAGTCGTTTTTCTTAGCACCAAAGAAAAACCAACGATTTCTTAATATTTTAGTGATTTATTATTTATACCACTTCTATTCTAAATCAGTAAAAGAATATATATCAATCCATGCATGAATTGTTATGAGGAGTGAGTATTCCCAGTTGACCCGTTACACTAAAAAAAGCGTATGCGATCAGTCTCCATCCTTAATTTATTGTAATATTGCATCCGTGCGAATCCTGTGACCTAATGCTGCTAAATAAACCAGTGATTAAGTATATAAGTAGCTCAGGAGTTTTTGGATTTGTTCTTTGTTGCATATATTATGGAAAAAAATGTTCAATCACTTTTCTGTGGTCCCTCTAAAACTAATGTAGACCTGCGTATCCCTTATGTTTTTGGAGCTTTTCTTCCGCTGTTTATCTGTAAGTTATACTTTTACGCCATAACAATCAATTTTAAGCTTTTTAAATTTCCCGCTTAAACAGTCTGACGAAGATTTTCATAATTTTTATTTACACAGCAATATACACTATACAAAGGATTGACCTAGTTCTGCAGGCACTTGACCAATCACAACATTAGGAGAGGAGTTATTATGATTAGTTGGTATGTTAGGATGCACATGTTGTACAGAACATAGCATTTACAGTGTATGTCAAGAAATGATTCGAAAAATATCTTAAATACGCCTTTTATTATATAATATACAACACAGGGTCTGATCTTCATTGAACAAAATTACAGTGAGATAACCTAGTAGGATAAAATATGAAAATTACGCCTGTCGTCTCTGATATTCCATCAAAATGAGGATTTAAATTACACATCTGCACTATCAAAGGTAGGCAATTCTGCTACTGTCTTAACAATATTTGCAGTTGTTGAATATATTTTTGCTTACTTGTTTCCAAACATACTATTTCTTACAAATAGTTGGAGGGGTACTACACTTTAAAGGGGTTGGGATACAGATTTGAATCTCATATTAACTTATATTTTCTCAATAATATCATGCCTTATATGTTGCTAGAACATTTCACACTGGAATATATTAAAACGTGTTAAGAAAATTATTTTATCTGGAAATTATTAAAACTACAATTTTCGGGATTCGTTTGATTGATACATATCCTTCCACTTTCACAAAGCAAACTTTATCCATATACTTAAGAAAAGTAGAAATTTTATTGTGTATAAATGAAATACATGAAAACTTTAATCCGGATAGTTAAGAGTAGACATGCGAGAAAGCAAAACCAACTCGTTAGTTTTGGTACTCCGTGGCTCAGTGATGGTTTGAACATATTTTATTGTTTAGATATTACAACAAAAGGATCGGACACAAGTTCTTAAAACTTAGAACGTCCTCTCCTTTATAACAATTCATTACACAAAATAATGTTAAAAATTAAACTACACTGGAACCAAAGGTCAATACGATTATCTTACATAGGTTGTGCATGTACAAAATTGACTTGATGTAGTATGTACAAATGAATTAAATATATGAATTCAAAAACGACCAGATCTCTTAATAAACAATTGCACATTTAAAAATAAACTTTCATTTTCAGAAATGCTAATCGAATCATCTCCCCATAACAGTACGTGAGTGTCTACAATACGTAAATTAATCATTCTAAAAATAGCATTAAACAAATCGTTTCTTGGGACAGTGTATTTCGTACAAGAAAAAAAGTAATGATATGCGTCTTCTATTTTTCCACAAGTGCATAATGGACTGTCAATGATGTTGCACCTAAATAAATCTTTATTCAGAACGCAATTGTGTCTTAATCTAGTATGAATTACATTCCAGTAACGATCACCAAAAGAAACAAATGCAGGAGTAGGTGTTTTTTGAGAGTTTATAAAATTTTTGAAGGAACCTATAGTAGTGGATTGTCTTGTTTCAAGAGGTAAAGAGTTCCATTCCCTTATTGCCATTGGGACAAAAGATGATTTATAAATATTTAATCTACACTTGGGGATGCAATAATTTTGTGATTGTCTTGTTACGTAATTTGATTCATGTGATCGAATGTTTGGAAATATTTCTTTCAGATACTCGGGTACCATATTATGAAAAATTTTGTACATAGTTGTTCTTACTTTCGACATTCTTCTAATAGCAAGTGGTTCCCATCCAGTTTCAAAATAGAGAGAATCTCGCGATGCTAAAGAAGTTAATCCAGTGACTATTCTTGCTGCTGCTAACTGTAATTTTTCTAGTTTTTCGGAATCTTGACTAGAACACCCACACCAAACTTCAGTTGCGTATTCTAACTGAGGTCTTATAAAAGTAGTATATAAAAGAGTTAAAGTTTTAGCACTTACCCTGAACTGCAATTTTTTAAGTAGACCTAATTTTTTATATGCATTGGCAACGATAGAATCAATGTACGCTGACCATGTAAGGTCGTGTGAAAAGAGAATACCTAAGTGGTTTTGTGATGATACAAAATCTAAATAACAGTCTTGAAATTTAAGCCTTGGTAGTTCGACATTTTTCTTAGTACTAAAAAAGAAAGCTTTGGTTTTCGAAGGATTAAATTTCAATAGCCACTGTTTAGACCACTGTTCAAGTTGATTTAAATCATAATTCAATCCTACTTGAATATCATGTATGTTTTCAGAACAGTTCTGTAAAGAATTATCATCAGCATACAACCTGCTTAAACTCGACATATTTTCAGCAACATCATTGACATATATCAAAAATAAAAGTGGTCCCAATACAGACCCCTGAGGGACTCCAACATGTAATGGTTTAAAATTAGACATAGTATTCCTATGCAATACCCTTTGTGTCCTTAAATCTAAATAACTTTGAAACCATAGCAATAATTTAACACCATAAGTTTGTAACTTAAATAGAAGACCTTTATGCCATACCCGATCAAATGCCTTAGACAAATCACAAAAAAGCTCAGTGATGTGTGCAGACTAAACAAATTAAACACACCCAGTAAAACGTAAACACTAACAATAGATTGATTGATTGTATGTTGTTTTACGTCCCATTCGAGAATTTTTCACTCATATAGAGACGTCACCATATACCGGTGAAGGGCTTCAAATTTTGACCTTTACTCGGCACTCAGGGCCATTGAGCAGTGAGGGATCTTTATCGTGCCAACGCCTGCCGTGACACGGGGCCTCGGTTTTTAAGGTCTCATCCGAAGGACCCGCAACTTTCACTTCAAAGTGCCGAGCGCATGGCGAAGGAACAGTTGCTACCTATTTTTTATCGACTTAGGTCTGTCGCGGCCGAGATTCGAACTCACGACCTCCCGATCACGGAGCGAGCGCTCTACCGACTGAGCTACCGTGAACGGTCATGGTGTTATGAAGAATGTCGTTGTAATTGAATTCTTAGAATATTCATGTACGTTCAAAACATTAAACTGAAGTTATTTTTAAAAATAAAAATAGACATTTAAAATTGAAGACAAACACCACTGGCCCAGGTCCCTTTAAATCAGCTTGTCGCAAATATCTATCATTTTGTTTTAGTTCGCCCTTTGATTTGCTGCATGGACTTCATGCACATATACAACATGTACGATGACTCAATTAAAAATAT